GGGGGGGGGGGGGGAATGCAAGCTGTGAAACGCCATAAAACATGTGGATTGACAACTTATGGAACTCTTATTTTGCAAATGAAGAAGTTCTGATAAGATAAATTATCAGACTGTTAATCTACGATTTGAGAAAAAGAACCAGTATCACGTGTACGAGGGAAAGGTGGGGGAATAAATGGCTACACTATTCCTCGTAAAAGGGATACTGCAGTGCTTGTTCGAACCCCAAGGAGACATAAGTTTGATTCAAAAAGCACTGAAACCGTTAAATTCCGTTTCACTAAGCAGATTGGCTCCGATCAGCAATGAGCGAGTCGGCTTCTACCGGTCAAAGTCTCGGCTTACGTTAGCTGATGAAATACCACCATATATATATGCCATAAACGACCACCAACTTAATGGGCATGCCAGTGGCCTTTAACTCCACAGATTGCCTTGCCCGGTGGAACTAATCGCTGGGGGGGGGAGAACGACGTAACCAGGAAGTGTTTTTATCCTACCGTACCGATTCGGTGAAATTTTGAAGCTCGTGAAGAGCATTCATCTTCGTTTCCCTACACCGGTGAATCAAGAAAGGTTTAATGAAATCCTCATGAACGTCGGCAACGAGTATCTCGATGACATTGCCATGCTCAGTGACGGTGCACAGGCGATGCAAGATGCGCTAAATCGCTCGATGTAGCATGTACTTTGTGTCTCCAAATATCAAGATGCTGTTGCCAGATTGTCAGGGGGATCATTGCAACTTTGCTAGGTAACGACGCTCTAGAGGTCATAGAAAGCTTTGTCTACTTCGGAGGTATTCAGAAAACAGGTGTTTTAGTGAGAAAGACATCTCAAAGCTTAGTTAAGGAAAGACTGCTGCTTGCTGAATGGCGACACCTGTATTGGTGGTGCGACGTACCTCTTTTACTGAAGCTTCGTGCTTATAGTTCAACGATACGTATTGTGTTGCTCTTACGACCGCGAAACTTGGTCTCATCGAGTAGATGATGGTCAACGGCTATCTGCTTTTGACAACTTCTGTCCGTGCATTATCATAGTCTTCGCATGAAAAACAACGATATCGTACAACGTGTTCTTTTTTAATTGTTTGATTACACACCTAAGTGTGATGAACAGCAGACTGGGTAAACCCACAGTCACGAGGACCTGCCGTTTATTGATGGAGTGGTGAACCACATAAGGCCACCAAAGGTTAGGCGTGGTATTGAACCGGACGATAGCAGAGCTGTCTACCACCAAAGTCGGAGATTGAACCTCGGACCATAAAGTCCAAAGCACGTCGATGACAGCGACTAAACCACTGCGCCATCCAAAGGAGTCTTTCGTTAATCAACATTGCTTTACTGAACCGTCTGAGGTGACTGGGCAGATGTTACAAAGCGCCTCGGTGTGTTATTTGTAGTTTTTGAACCCTATTGGAAGAAACAGCAAAGTGGGCAGGTTGAAATGTGAATTTGACAATTAAAGAAACTATGTTCACATCTGGTTCTAGTTTAGCAAACGGGGATAACATGCTGGAGCCGAGCGGTTTAGGGCTCCGCTGACTGAAGACATCGCAGAACATTGGAGTGAATAAAATTCAATGGGATGATTGCATTTTTCCGATGCTTGAAACAACATTAAACAAAATTAAGAAGGGCAAACGAATTGGAAATCGCACGCAATAAACAAACAAAAAATGTTTTTAGCCCTATTACTCCACTTGATGGGTTTTCGTTTATCGTTCTTTACAACCCCGTGGTTGTTTTGGCAGTCTATGGGAAAAGATTGACATGTGTAAAAACATAAAAATGAATGTCCTAACCGCGCAACCTTTATTCTACCGAAAAACATCATAAGAAAACTGCTGTAATATCAGAGTTGATAAAAAAATTGTAGATTACTTTTCGACAAAGTCGGTTTTGGTGCATTTGGTTCATTTCAGCTCCACTGTGCGCCAAAATTTGTGAGTTAGGGCAAAAAAACAAATTGGAATAGGAAAACGTTGCAAATAAAAACTTACGCATCGACCAGGGGGATTTCATTTATCGTTGGCGGGAAATTTAACGGCCGAATTGTTTCATTACGATTGACCGTATGAATTAATCGTTCCAGAAAACAGCCCCACGGTTTTGGACGAGGTGGGCCTTTCGCGGAAGTAATATCGGCCGATTGGTCAGTTTCGGGCCCGGATCGAGGCAGAAGTCGCATATCCACGGCCCATATATGATGACCGAATGCACCACGAACGACCAGTATTGTCTGAGGTAGATTATCGGGATCGGAGACAGATGCGAACCCATGGGACAAGAGGATGTCACGACATTGGGAAGTTTCCAGCACACCTAGAATCACACCAGGTTCAGACCAAAAGTATCGAAATTGGCGATGAAGTGCTTGTAGGACCTCAGCCGAGACACCAACTTCATCCGGCGAGATCAGACGAAGCAAATGGTCTTCGATCAATCGTGAGCAGGTAGTTTCCGTTCCAGAAGGTCCCGGGAATTGTCCAGCCATTGAAACGAGAGCGGCTAAGCAAGCTTCCGCAGCCTCACGGACACGTTTCGACGAAGGATTCATGTGCTTTAATCGTCGCGGTTTGGGTGGTACAATCCGATTTCGATCAGTTTGTTTTCGTATGGCATCAGCCAGCTCTGTACGAGTGAGCTTAAAATACGGAAGAAGATGAAAATATGCATTCAATGGGTTAAACTATCACGCCTAAAAGGGATAAAACAACGAGAAGCGATCAGTTTAATTGGTACTGCACTTGTTTGAAAATCAATTTCACGATGGAGATCGACAGAGGAGATGAGTAGCAAGCGTAACAATACTCCAATTATGACGTACAGTTAGCTTAATCGGAGGTACATGACCAGGGTTGTATTGAGCGGTTAATATCGCCTCACTATCCTCGACTGGATCAGAAGCAGTATATCATTTAAAGCGTACGGCCTGTGTAGAAGTATACAGCCGGATGAAGAAAGAAGATTTAGTTTGTTCATTGCTAATAAATGAACATCGATCCAGAGAATAAACGATTTTAGATGATCCACGGTAATGACTGAGGTGTCTTTTTTTACCTTGAAGGCGATCGTTCAGAAAGGAAGAAACACTAAAAGAGTGTAGAAAGTATCATAGAGTGCACAAATATGGTGAAATAATGAATAGAATCGTCTTCATAACCCTGCTGCACTACATGTAGCGGCGGACTGTTCAAGAGGTAGAGGCAAATCATGAAAGGAAAAGGGTCAAGTGGTAGTAGAGATATCACTGTGCAATCTATTCTCATAATTCCATAGATCTAACTGTACGAAATGCGGTTTAAGTCGCTACTGTCTTAGGATCCGAGGTTCGAGCCCTACTGCCGCGACCTAACTTTGAGTTAGGGAGCTTCGCTGTCGTCCAGCTCAATACCACGCCACACCACTCGAAGGTTAGGGACTTAGGTTGCCGGTTACCGTGAGTGAATGGATGTCGGTGAATACGGGGTTCAACCAATCTACTGTTTACTAAACAAAGGCGTATGATGAAAAATGACCCTTGGCTACGATGGAGATGCATCAAAGGAGTTTCCAGTTGAGTAAAAGATGCTGCTGATCGTTGATAACCTTCAAATTGGGAAAAATTACTCTAGGAAGCGACGAACAAATCATTGGTATTTTATTTATTTATTTTATTGTACTGTGATTTGTTTAGCACGCGGTCTGGACTCACACAACCGCCCGCCCGCGTACATACAAACAGGCTAGGTGTACCGTCGATGCACGGCGTTCCCCAAAGGCTAAAGTTCACGCACACACACACCGCATTTCGATTGATTCCCCTAAGTCACTTCTCACCGTTGATTATCACAAATGCTTGCGTACTTCTTTGATACCGTTTGGTTTATTCGTCCCACTGTCATCGCACTGCGCGCCTGCTTGCTTACAGTCCCTACTTGGTGAACAGATCTCGGTGTTTACTAAACCGGATTGCGCCACAGTTTGAGATTTGCATATTTTCCACTAATTAAATCTGTATTTCAGTACCGTTTTGTAGAAGAAACGCGTTTGTTACTGTTTTCTTCTGGGTTTTCTACGCGTCGCTCGAGGTGGATCGTTGCAAACCGTGAAGTGAACACACACACTCTCTCTCGACCCATTGACTAGACTGATCCAGAGGTCCTCAACCAGGAAGCCCAAAATGAAAACCCCATAGTTGGGGTTGCAATATCCACATGATACGTCTTCTTCTGACCACTTTCAGTCCATTTCCATCCACTACCTGAGAGTATAGTTGCACGCAAGTGACGTGTTCGAGGATCGATTGTGTCGGATTCTGTGTTGACGTATTTAACACGAGTGGGATGGGATCGGATGGGATTGCTATCACGTGACCACGGGATCATAATGAAAACCGGTCATTCTGTGCGCGGATGATGTAATCGCAATGTAATGAGAATGAACAGCGTAGTTTGGGCTTTTCAGATGATGCATTTTACAATTACTTTTCATTTCGCAACCAAGTATTCCGATAATTAATTCGATTTTAGAGTGAGAGAAAAATCGGCAAACCCGAATAACATATTCGATAAGTGTCGTCCAAATATGGTGCAAGTCAAACATTGACCGTAACTAGTGTGAAATTAGCTTGTGTTATCCTAGTATCGGTCACGGAACATGAATAGAGCATGCATGTAACCCAGGTGCACTAGTGCTAAGCAGTTGTACAATAGATGACCTTTCTGCATGCATAGAGATCGCTCGCGTAACGAATTCAAGGTTAATGAGAACCCTGTGCATTCCACTTGGCGAATACGTTTTGAATTTTCAATACAAGCACATGACAAGACTGCTAAGTCAACCCTACTCAACGAGGAGGATGTGGGTTGCTGTCTCACGATCAATGCAAAACCAGTGATGTGAGAAGCGCGGATAGTAAGATCAACTCAACCACAGGACCCCTAACGAAATCCACGATTCCAGGCATATGCAAAAACAGTATCGATCTATTATTGGTGGGGGTACAGAGCGATTTCCATTTTCTGAGAATCACCATCGACACAGAATATACGATCACAAACCCTGTCATTGCTTACCCGATGTCCCCACCAGACAGAAACTCTACTACATAGACAGTGGTAGTCAGATACAGGAAGTCGATTTGCGTCTCCCGTGTGAAGGACGGGTCTCGAAACAGTGAAGCAACACACCACGAAACGCGACAGTGCGAACACTGGCCTTAAGAGAAAGTAGGAAATCATGAAACATCACAAGCGTTGAATGTTGGCAAAGGCTGCACCAACTTTTGCTATTCTTGATGCGATTGATCTCATACTCTTCCGGAGTACTTACAACTTGATTATTTCTAGCTGATCAAGGCAAAAAATGGGTGCATGCACAGACTCCTGCCAGTCTTGTACAGCCACGTGGGATTTCGATAGGTCATATTTGGATACGGGGACCGTCAAGCGGTTCAAACCATATCGGACTGCTTGTGTATTGTCACTTAGCACCGTGATGTAATCCTGGTGTTCGAAGTCATGAAGACTGTTCCTTCAAATTAGTTAGGTGACAGTAGGCTAGAATTGCCGAAATCCACTGCAGATGGTAAAGGATGGCCGTAGTTCCTAACCTGATTGTGGGTATGCTGATGGAACTCTTTGGGGATTGACCCATAATTTTCAGGTATTTCATCTATCCGCGGGCAACTCCACAGTACAATCCTGTTGAGGGAATCGAAGGCCTTGCAAATGCATCAGAAAATAATGAGCGTTGATCTTTGGAAGACATATCGATGCTTTAGAAACTGTCGGAAGGCGAAGATGTGGTCAGCGCAATAATAACCGGCGGAAATCTAGTCTCCTTGTATGGTACGAAGAATGACGAGTGATAAACGCTTTAACATTATGGGATTGGGACAACGGCTCTTTAATGGATGGCGGGTGCAAAGCACCGCTTCAGTGCGAACTGAACTTTTCAGTCGAAATGATGAAGTAAGCTCCCCTAAACCAAACCTATACATTGGCTTACGTGACTAAGTAGGACAACCGCCGCAAGTACTGACAGAGTGGAAACAAGCAGTTCACTCATTGTTTGTAACTGCTTTGTGACTCTTGCTTGGTGAAGGCTGTTCGCCTGTTTTAGGATGTCACGCGCGTCTGTGTGTGCTTGTGTATCTAATCACTGCCTTGGCCTGGGCAACCTACCAGTATTCAGCCCACAAACCAATCATAAAGATTATTTTACCATGATTTGCTTGGCACACAGTCTGTCCTAAGACAAGTGTGAAATATATATAATAATCACTGAGGAGCCTCCACGACTTCAGGCATAATACTAGATATACTATCGGGTGTAATACTAAATAGAGGGGCAATATGTCCCAGTTTTGCAGCTTGATGATAGTGTACCGGTGACAACGACCTCGAACTTTCAGCTGCCGTCCAAAACAAAACTGTTCTCCCCGGTGTATCGCTCGAGCATCATAGCGAGTGATGAGACACAGCGATTCACAGATCAAACACTCACCTTGCACTTTGCACCACAAATGCCCAATTCAATTGTGCCCAGGACCACCTCAAGACATTCGCGATCAGTCAAAATCAGGTGCGAGTGTTCGACCAGCCATTGGGACAGACATGAGTAGGCAGCCACAATGATACTGTGCAATTGTCGTTTATGATCCTTCGAGTCCCGTTTGAGCTGTTTCACAATGAATTCGCAAATCCCATGCACTGTGTCACGATCTACAACGGAACAACGGACAGAGAGAGAGAACTGAATGGACAGGAGTGCTCATCATGGAGGACGGGAGATTGAACAACAGCAATATGGGCGAAACGGTTCAGAGTGGAACGTAGCGCCTATCTGATAGTTGAATATGAAACAGGGCAAGATTTAATTTCATTATTATTCGCAAGTTGGCAAGTAGACACACTTCCGAATGGGAATGAACTGCGTTTATCATCTTGATAGGTGTAAGCGCTTGGTGCGATAAATTGGTCAGTTCGATTGACGCGCTGATTAACTTCGTGATCCCATACTGTCTTTCAGCTACCTGAGAAGAGTAATCAAGGCGCATGTGTGTGAACTAAATATAATTACAATAAGAGATAGTGAACATGGCTTTGAAACCTTCTTGAAAAGTCACGGAGACAAAAAAAGCGAATTGATTCGTTTCAATGAATGAATTAGCTTATTCAGAGCTGGACATGGAGTTCTTGCACTTTTCATTCGACACACGCACAATGACTGAAAGACGTNTGGACACCGTATCATGAGTAAGCATACCAAGTCCACTCCACAGTGCCTCTGTTGAAAGGACAACTTTTAGCTTGACAGAGTAAATCTGCATTGTCCATGGAAGAGAGTACGGCGCACATCTAAACAAGAGGAGTGGCGGATGGCCTATTAAAATCCCAAAAGCTATACAATGTTGGTGCTTGTACTCCAAACCCTCCTTCGATAAATAATATACATACATATATATTATATATATTTATATGTATATATATTTCATATTAAGTAGTATATGAATGCTTGAGCCAAATTTCCCTGGAAGCACACGACCGGCTTCGCGGTTCTTGCCGCCTGTCAGGCATGTGTATCCGGTAATCTTTAGTCAGTTCATTCATATAACTGTACCCCGGGAAGTGTATTTTCGACACAGTAACCTTGTTTGCATCACCGGGTGACATTCACATGAAATATTCTGTAAAGACGATCAAGTCACGTTTGTTGCGGTTAGTAACACCTAACCCACTTATTGTATTTGTATAGACTTTTGTGAGAACAGAATGTTCGCATTTCAGTCAAAAATTACACATCTCATCAAAAGAAGGAAAGATGGAAGTAAAATATTTAGCCTTTAAGGTTACTGAGAAATTCTGAAGAAGCGCGCGCTCTCGGTTTACAAGGATTCTGGCAATATAGGGAACTGGGGAATTTCTGTAGAGAGAGGGTAATAATCGATAAGAAGAACGTGTAGACGAATGAGAGCAGCATTTAGATAAATCGCCATGTAAAGGATGGTTGGGGTCAGCGAGGATTTTCTGGGCAAATGTATCACATGCGGACGAGTGAAGTTCACACAGTTTTTTAGATAGCTCATCAACGACAAACCTCGACGAAGAATTTTGAAGTCTTTCTTTAGTAGACCAGCACAAACCACTGGGGAACAATGAAGAAGAACGGGGAAAACACACTGATAAACAAAAAGTGAAATCATTTTTTGCTTGGCATTGAACTGCCTAAGTCTTCGAAGTGGAAAAGATAATCTGTGAAGTTTCTGTACAGAGTTGTAAATATGGGATGTCCACTTCAAGTTAGTGTCAATTGTAACTTCCAGATACTTCACAGAATCAACTCTAGTTAGTGGATCTGTGTTTATGACAGACGGATCACAAGGATAAACAGATCGAGAAAGGGAGAAAGTGCATTCGAAGCACTTGGATAAATTAAGAGACAGTCCAGAACGAACGAAATATTCATGAATACGCGATAGATTACTCAAGAAATGTAAAAGGTCCTCAGGAACAGAAATGGCTTGGCAGCGGGCTACGTCATCAGCATATTTGAATAACTGGGCTGGAGAACTCGCAGACAGATCACTGATTTCGGTGGAAAACAAGAACGGAGAAAATACGGCAACCTGTAGTACTCCCGAATTGTTCACCAGTGATTTAGACGTTTTCCTACCAAGCCGTCTGCTGAGTTCTGTTTGTCAAGTAGTCGATGAGCCACGCCAGTAGGAGCTTGGGATAGTCAAATGATTCCAGTTTACGAAGGAGGACGGAACGTGGAACAGATTTAAAGGCTGAGAAAACATCTTACAGATTTCACAGATGCGTCTAAGGATTTGGTACCGTAATGAACGAGAGAGGCAACAGCATCCAAAGTGGACCTGTTTGATTTATAAGCGAACTGGAGATGGTCTTCGGGGGTACAGAAGGAAGCAGAAAGGCGTTTGAGAATGGCACGTTCTGCCAATTTAAGACCGCATGACGTTAGAGCAATGGGACGGAAACGTTTGGACAGGGTGCTTTATCTGCACGGTTTTGGAATGGGAATGAACGTGACGGGTCTCCAGCAATCGCGGAATTGAATATGAACTGAGTGACGTGTTGAGGATAGAAGTAAAAGCATCCCTTAGAGCCAGGGCACCATGCTTTAGAAGGGATTAAGATAAACCGTCAGGACCAATACCAGTGGATGATTTAATTGTACGAAGGAGAGTAGATATTTCTCCTCTCGAGAACGGGGTTATGTTAGCTGCGTCTTCCGGAATCCATGAAACAGGAGGATCGCTTCTCGGATGCACAAATGCCTGATTTATATTCTCGATGTCCGCAATACATTCATTGGGTTTGGACTTCGCTCCACATAAGATCCGAAATCCTTGTGTCGAAAATACACTTCCTGGGTACAAGCATACGAATGAACTGACGAAAGACTACCGGATACGCATGCCTGAAGAGCGGCAAGAACCGCGAAACCGGTCGTGTGCTTCCAGGGAAATTTGGTCCATTTATTCTTATACTACTTATTATGAAATATTCTATAGACTATCAAGTCACGTTTGTTGCGGTTAGTAGCATTAAACCCGCTTACAAAAACATCGAGTCATAGCATTGATTCTTCATCGAACTGGCTCTGAAAGAAGCCCCGGGACTTGGCGTGGCAAACCTAGTCTCTTGGTTAGGGTTTTCATACCCTCATGCTAGGTCTTAGTTTGACCACAATTGATCTTTTTCCAACCGCTACCTGCCTCAGCAAACATCGCTCGCCGTGGCGTAACACATGTACCAAACAGCGTAATTTATGAAGGTCGACTACTTGTTTCAGTGGACGACCGCGATTACCTAAAACTGTACACTCAACCTCAGCATTGCTCATCCGGTTACCCCATCAGATTCGTGCAATGCGACGTAGACAGCTGTGTTCGAACACCGACAATCTATTTTTAACCGGTTCCCGTAGGAGTTAAGTCTCTATACCGTAGAGCAGAACTGGCCGAACTGCTGCAGTATACACTGGACCGTTCACACACAGCCGGATGTCGCGACGGTGCCACAGATGTCCGAAGTTGGCAAAGGGCAACCGAGCCTTTTTATGCGCGCCGACACTTCATTTGTGATATGGCTGCCCAGATAGTGAAGGCAAACGAACTACTTTTTATCCCGGTTCAGACGGATTGATTATCAAAATGTTTTCACTCTAGTAACAAATGAGCAGTGAGAATAAAGTGACAAATTCATTGCTAGTCGCACAAAATGAAACTTACACATGACCGGATCAGGCACGGAAATCCGCACGGACGAAACACCTCCTAGAATTTCTAGCACATATTGTACCACAGATTCCTCGGCCAGAAGCTCGCAGAGACAGGGAACCAACGCGCTGAAGAAACCCGGAGCAGTATCTAAAGCATGTGGAACACATAAACTGGAACGATGAGGAAGACATAAACCAAACGAAAAAAAGGCAGCAGGATGCGACGGATTACAGTGGATTCACGGAATCGCAAGACCAACAAAAGTGTCTCCCTAAATAAATGTCAGATGACGGATCAGTAGATAATCGATGAAGAGGAATTTGACCGGGGCATTGTTTCTGTGTGCACAAAGTTTTCTTACTATAGACCTTAGTGTGATGGACAGCAGACGGGGAAACCCCGTAGTCAGGAGGACTGGCTGTTTAGTGATGAAAACCGGTAACCTAAGCCCCGCGGGATTTGGAGTGGCGAACTGCAAAAAGCCCCGCTAGGTTCAGCGTGGTTTTGAACCGGATGACAAAAATCTGTCTAGCAACAAAATTGACGGTCACGGTGGCGGGGCGAGAACCTCGGAGCACCGGGGTTCAGAGCAATCTGACAGTGACTAAATCACCATCGTCACCGTACAGCGAAAGACAGGAAAACGAACTTCACTGATCGCTACCAAACTCGCAATGCATAGAAGGTTAGTGGTAAAATTTAAGCTAGACAGGGATCGGACCTATTTTGAGGGAGGGAGAGGAAGATGAGCCACTATGGTCAACACACAGAGTACACAATTGAACTCTGCATACATACCGTTTCAAGCACTGTGGCCGGATAAGAAACGACAACAAGAATGCCACTGCTGCCGGTTCGCTGCCATATCCTTCAGTATTTTCAACCAACCAGTTGTGGAGTCTTTCGGACCCCAACATGGAACGCGAGAGACACCTACTCTACCTGATGGCTCTATGCATTTATTCATGCCTCGTCTCCACGTCATCTGTTGACCTCCACGCCGTTTCCTCCAGCCCGGATTAACTACAGCGAATAAAGCGCGGTGCGGCAGACGATGGCGGGGCATACGCAATACGTGCCCTAGCCAGCGAAGCCTAGTAATCTGAATTCGGTATGCTAGCAGGTTTATGCCTGACAGACTTCCAAATACACGACGACTTACCTCCACGTTACTAACCCGTTCGCTCCATCCAACATGGGCTAAACTGCGTAAACACCGACAATCGAAAACTTCTAGTCGACGGATATATTCTACTCGCCAATTCAGGGTCCCACAACCATAACGCAAGACTGAACGAACGCTGGCACAATAAACACGACCTTTCAACTTCAGTGAAACGTCGCGTCTACGTCAAAGGTGTTTCAGTGACTACACCGCTGAGTTCATTTTATCGGAGAGAAGTAATGAGTATAAGTAATGCATGGCTAAGAAAAAAATATTATTATTATTAAAATATTAATAAGTGAAAGAGTTATTACATTTTTCTATGCGAAAGATCTCATTGAGAAAATGGATTACTAGAAAGATCTAAGATCGTTGGTTTCGTCAGTAGTCGCAAGCTGGGTGTGTGGTACTGTCGGTGAATTTGATAGCAAACATTCTACAAAATTTGACATGATCGTAGCATGGGAAGCAGATGTTGTCGTTGTGTTTCCCGAGCTGGAACTGTTGTTCGCCGTTGTTGCGCCGACGACGATGTCACCTAGTCTAGTTACTAAACATCTGTAGACAACATCGCCAGCCCGGAGAACACAAAAGACCGTGATAAAAACGTTCTAGTTAGCGGGCACATCGGATAAAATTTGTTGTTGTTTATTTTGACATATTTGGGACTCCATATTTCAATAAGACAAACAATGAAGCAACAACTCGAATGAGAGAACATCACGTACGACTGAAACGATCAAACGTACAGACGCGTTTCTGATCGCCCCGCTTGTCTTTATCGTCCGGACGAGTTTTCTGGGTTAACATGCTTGACTGAGCATCATCGGCAGCCATGTCTTCCAGCAGAGCCAAACTGGTGCCTGAAAGGTGGAAGAAATGAGAATATGGACATTCGATGAAATTGACGCATTAAAACGCAGTGCCGTAACAACGCAACGCATCGAGGAGTGGTGATAAAGTACAGAATTTGTCTCAGTTATAGACAATAGTAGACTATAGTCATCCCCTGCGTATATTNNNNCAAACAAACGTGATGTGGTGAAAAGCTGACCCACACATGCAGAAATTTTCATACCGTGAGAAAAGAACTTGAAACGGTTTCCATAGATGATAATCGAAATGCCGAAATATATCAATCTACGGTTTTGCAAGAAGAATTAGAACTACCATGAATCAATCGAATTTCTTGGAGTCATTGTATTCTGTGGTTTATAAATATACACATNTATACACATTAATATTGATTGATTTGACTGACTATCTTTATGACTTCACCGTCACGCACAATCCTCAGTGCATCGATTTAATCATACACTCGAGGAAGCACTAGACTAATCGAGTTTCGCTCTTATTAGAGCTCACCATCAGTAGTGCATATCCACTGTCCCACTGTCCGGGATTTTAACTCCCGCCCCATTGCATGGAAGGTATGTGTGCTACCAGTGTGTCAATCAGCTCATGCATAAAAATGTACATATCACTCGGTTAGCATGTCTCACGGGTTCTGTGAAACATACAATTCCCACTATCATTATTCTTGAAAGAAGCCAGTGTGGTTGGTGATCCAAAATTGTATAGGTATAAACAAAAAAGTGCATTTATTTGGCATTTGTAGCGTTAAACATATCACCACAGATACAAATGTTAATTCTGAAATTATTCCCGTTGGAGTAGACATGAGAACACAGAATAGCAAACAAGCTCACTTTCGGTGCTACATTATTTGGCTAAATATAGCACAATTTATAACAGATTAAAAACAGATGGGGAGAGGAGACAAATATCTGCGAAGGAAATCAGAGTTTAAAGATAGATGATGGATTTGTGATAATTGATGTTTGTGAGTGTGGTTCAAATTGTCATACTGAGTAGTACGTAGTAGTATGAACAGTGATAGTTATTATCCCCATTGGTAGCTACAAAATTGTTCACCACCGGTTGTTTAATCCCAGCTTCTGTCATTCGACCACTTCTGTGATTGTTCTGACATAAACAACCAGGCATCAGTTCAAACATCGTCAAGGTGTACACTCCATTGGGAGGCATCGTGAAGATGCAAGCTCAATGCAGAGAAATTCTGAGATCGGACAAGTGTGAAACTAAACTACGGATAGCTATTAAGATCAACTCTGAAAATTCCGGTGACCACTACGACGCCCAAGAAAGTGCGTGCGTGTTTGAGACGCCTCTACTGATTTTCGTTTGGAATCAGGGATTTAGGCGAATTGCCCGGTGGTTCACCGACCCGGTTAAAACCCTAGACGTTGGCTTTTCGTTCTTTAATTTTGGTGGGAAAACACCCCCACGGAAAGGCAGCTGCTACTCTTCCAAACATTCGTCGGCTGCATTACTAATCATCATGCATTGCACAAATGTTCCGAAAAAAAAAGTCTTTGTTCACATTACATCGTTCGCATTCTCCCGCAGCATCCCCATGCGAAGGTTTCAACTATAACGTTCAAGTGGATTTGCATTACTGATATATCCCCAGAATGAACTATCTTACTGCAAACCACTGGACACTAGAGCTCCTAGGTGTCAGCGAACGAGGACTGAAACACTGGACTGCATGGCATGGGACAGAAATAAACGGTGTCTATCAGCCTGCCTGTTCCTTAGTATGCTGGGGCCCTTCAATTGTCAGCGATTGACCACAATCTCCTCCTGACTTTGCAACTTGATGGAAGAAACTGAAAAAAAGTTGTGATTAAGGAACACATAGTTCACTGCGTTCTGTTCCGCACGAGACAGACAAGCGTAGAAGACAAATGGGACTCAATAGAAAGTCGAAATGGATTTCATCACGGAGCAAATAGAAGTGATCCAGGTTCCCCTTATGGAGGAGCTCAGTATATGTGTTGGATTTGATCACAAGAACAGCCTTATCCTCGAGCGAGAATAGTGGCATCGAGTTGCTCCCAAGTAGCAGGCTGTCTGATCTACAGTATGCAG